ACCCTGTGACCATTTCAATGGTTAGCTGTGAGAATCTGCCTCTTGTCAGGCCCTGGAAGACTTCTAAGGAGGGGGTTGGCTTTTTATAAGATTATGCATTTTAATTTACAATTTCCTATTTAACTTATTTCCAAATAGATGGTCTTTTCTTTTTATTATCTAACTGTACCGTGTAGGACTTCAGCTGCTATGTTAAACAGAAGTGGCAACATTGAGTATCCTTGTGTCCCTGATCTTAAGACAAAGACCTTTCAGCTTTTTACCAGGGAGGGAGTGTGTCAGCTATAATGGCCATTATTCAAGCCTACTTTTTGTCTGGATACTTCTATACCTACTTGAAAGAGACCAGAAGTTTTCCTATATTGTTTTGCTTTTGAATTTTTATTAAACAAAATTTTGAGGCACAAATTCAAGGCAGTGGGACTAGCATCAAGCTGTTGCCTAAGGAACTGGCCAAGTGGAAAGGCCTCAGCTTCTGTGCCCCTCAGAGTCAGCAGTTTATCACCAGCTTCAAATTGTAACGATGTACAGAGCTTTGCAAGGGCTTTAAAAATATGCTTTCCGACGAATTAAAAAGCACTACAAAGTTATATATAACTTGGCAAACCCTAAAAGAAAATGCAAAGAATAAAGGAAATACTGTCCTTAATTCTGCCTCGTGTTATTTAGTTTGGTCACCATTTTGAATGTGCATTTCTCTGGTTACTCAGAACGTTTTTATTCTGGTGCTGGGATGTAACGGCCCATTCTGCCCCATGTTAAGGGGCCATTATGTACCAACCTGAGCTGCTGCTCCAGTCCTCGGGTCAGGGTCCAGCAAGAGAGAGAGTGGGGAGGGAGGGGTGAGAAACGCGAAGAATGGAGACAAGACAGAGTCTGATCAAGTCTCTCTTTACTGAAAGGAAATCCTGGGTATATATGATTTTCCATGTGCCTTGCCACCATGGACAATCAGGGGAACACAGTTGAAGGCACTATGCCATGTGTCTTGCATCATGGATACCACATGTGCCTTGTAGCTGGGGACACTAAGCAGCAAAACAAGATATATGAAAAAAACAAGATGTTTATTAGAGTGTGCTCAGCTCTTGTGGGCTGTTGAAAACAAGTCTCTTGTCAGGGTATATGGCTCGAGATGGCTGCAAAGATGATAGCTGCTTTCTGCTAGGAGTTGGCTCCTAACACTGGGAGAGATCTAATCCTGAGATATGCTCATAGGCACGGAGTATGTTAATATATAAACTTTGACTATTAATTATTTTTCTTTAAATAATTTTATTTTGAGGAACTGGAGAGCTTCAGGAGGTTTGGGTTCAATTCTCAGCACCTACATGCAGCTTACAACCATCTGTAGCTCCAGTTCTAAGAGACCAGAATCCCTTTTTTGGGCTCTATGTGGGATACATATGGCATACAGATATACAAGCAGGCAAAACACCCATACATATAAAATTATATATATATATTAAAATGCTATTCCACTCAATAGACTTTGCCTGAGATTCCCAACACCAGTATAGACCTATGTCTACCCCTTTTTAGACTTATAGCTACCAAACTTATTTCCACATCTCTCCAGAGCTGAACTGTGGTTTCTCTCCTTGAATTATAGAACTGTTAAGTACTCTTTCAAATTATCTCCACACATTCAAACATCCTGATCTGAGATGCCTGATTTGCTCTCATCAGAATTACTTTGTAAGAATATTACCTGGTGTGGGACTTTGTCCTAATTTGTTTCCTATTGTTGTGATAAAATGTAACTTAAAGGAGAAGGTTCAGTTTGGTTCACAATGCCAGTTACAATCCATCATTGTGAGAAGTCAGGGGTGCAGAAACTTTAGGCTTCTAGTCACATCACATCCACAGACAAGAGCAGAGGACAATGAGTTAAAACATGCATGTTACTGATCAGATTAGCTTTACTCTTAGACAACCCAGAATACCCTGCTCAGAGAAAACCACTATCCAGAGCAGGCAGATCTTCCTACCCCAATTAAGCTAATGATGATAACCCCTTGCACAGGTGCCTACTGGCCAACCTAATCTAAACAATCCCCCACTGAGACTCACTTACCTGGAGATTTCTGATTGTTTCAAATTGACAACTAAAACTAACCACCATGGGCCATTGAGATGAGGTGGCTAAGTGGTAAAGGCATTTGCCACTAAGCCTAGTGACCTGAGTTTGATCCCTAGGACCAACATGGTAGCAGGAGAGAGACCAAGTTATAGTTGCCTTCTGACTTTCAGATATGCAATATGGCAGGAATGCACATATAACACACACACACACACACACACACACACACACATTGGAAAATTCCCACCGAACAAATCCTGAAACCCAATCATCACAGACCCCAAGCAATTTACTCCACTAACCTCAGATATGGGTAGTTTCCCAGATGAGGCCAAAGTTGAAAATGCTCCTCTTGACAATGAAACATCTACTCTTTATACTGGAAAAGCCTGTGGAGGCTTAAAATCTAGCTTTGATCTTTGCCTCCTGTCCCTCTGCTCTGAGAAATTCTGTCTTTACTTCCTATTTCTGAGTCTGGACTCCCCCTCACTTACTCACACGCCACACTACTTCTTATCTACTTCTTAGAGTCTTGCTAGCTGAACTTGTTTTTCACTGGAACCAGGTCCAGTAGCATTTGTTGACTTATTATAGAGAGAACACGTTTGATCAGACACCATGTGCACTGCAAATATGCGTGTAACGAATGAATGTTGGTTATTCTCTTGCTTTCATTGAAATCTGTTTTGGATTTGAGATGTAGTAACACAACACCCACATTTCACTTGTCTCTCTTCTTCCTATTGGATTCTATATCAGGTACTAGATGGAAATTTTGCATGTGACATTTTCTACTCTTCACAATGATCTCTCAAAGCATCTGTTGTCATCTGTCTTACAGGGGTAGCTGAGGGTCTTCGGGTTCATTATTTCCTCTAAATTCAGTGGCTGATCTCCCTTCTTTGAAGATTCATTCCTAGAAGCACCAACTCCTGGCCTTGTTTTGAGGTTACTAGATGTCTCTTATCTGTTCTTATGCTCCTGATTTTATCTTGATCAATCACCTCATCTCTGTCTGAACCCAGCTGGGACAGAACTATGAGGGAAGAACAACCCTCAAAGGTTTGATGAGGTCTTTACATAAGAGCTTGAAGCCAGTTGAAGGAAGTGGAAAGCCAAAGGGGTTTTCACATTTGCAACCACATTTGAGACAGCAAAGAAGTCTCACTTCTAGAAATCAGGCCGACATCCCTGTGGCTATTTCCTGGCTCACTGAAAGTGTCCCTTAGCTTCTCTGAACCTCAATTTCCCCATCTTTTCTATGAATATCACAAAATCCCATTTTTCAAGGCATGTTCTCATTCTGTATCTCAGACTGACACTGAATTTGAAGCTAGCCCTATGATTCAGTCTCCTGAATGCTGAGATTATAAACAGGAGCCACCACAGCTGGCTTGTGACCATAGGCTTCTCTGACTCTATGTTTGTCACCTTGTGGGTCACATGCTACAGTGTGTATACTTTGGTTTGTAAGAAGTAGTCTTAGGCACAGTGGCACTGTCAGAGTGATAAAGTACCTTATTATGGGAGCAAGATTGTATAAATGGAGGTGCTGACTTCTTTTGGATGATATTCTTATTCCAGGGGCCCCAAATCATGGCTCATGACCAACTGACTGGCTCCCTGTTTTTATATAACTTGTGAGCAAATATTTTTTTACATTTTAATATGATTTTTTAAAAAACAACTATGACATGTAAGTATTACATAAAATTTAAACCCCAGTATCTATAAATACAGTTCATTAGAGCAGAACTGAGCACATTTGCTTGTAGACCATCCGAAACTGCTTTTGCAGCAGCAGAACTGCATAGTTATGAAAGACTGTAGCCACACTGAGTTCATACATTTATTCTTAGACTGTACAAGTAGAACTGTCAGCTTTCTACTTGTTGAAGCTTCTAGTCTGGACAGAAAGTGTAAAGCAACCTCATTTTTTCTTTAATTGCTTTACTGATTTCTTTCACTTGATAATAAACATTAAATGAAGATATACTGTCCCCTCCATTTTTTTATGCTTAAGTAACTGGAGACTGAAACACCAATATAACATTAAAAGTCAGTAAAGGATGAAATGTCTATCCCAAATTTCAAGCCATACTTCTCACTCTGAATGGTACATTTCTTTTCTCCTATTAATGCTCCAAATAGTTGTGATCAGGAACTGCAGAACAATACTGAGTTGGTGCAGTCTCTTCACACATGTTACTTCTATTTCAATGGTGGTTATAATACAGTAGTATTGTAGAATGGTGTACTTGAAATGGCTCTGAGTTCTTGCAGATTGTCCTGTTCTTTTTCTTTTTTTTTTTTTTCTTCACATATGACTGTAATGCTTCTCTTTAGAGCCAGAGCTTTCTTGGTTCACCATCTCCGTGTCCTTCCCTATTCTCCTACTGACAGGCTTCAAGTGAGGCATCCTTATTGATCTTAAGAGCTGAGACAAAAAAGCATCAGGTTAAAGAAAAAACGGTCACAGGAAAACAGTACCTTGCAAATTACTGCCTGTCCCTTTCCCAAGCCTTCTCCAAATGAGTTGAACAGTATATAGAATTCTGTTAGCAAACAATATTTTTCATTCATCAAATAATGACATGGAAGGGTGTTGATCTCTGTTGCATTTCTAAATATGTGGCTTTGTGAGACATACCTTTAATCTCAGCACTCTGGAGGCAGAGACAGGTAAGTCTCTGTTAGTTCAAAGCCAGCTTAGTCTACATAGTGAGTTCTAGAACAACCAGACCTATGCAGAAAGACCTGTGCCTGGCATTTTGTTAATATTGTTGATGTTTTTATTATATTTCATGCAAAGAAAGAAGAAAATCTTTCAGTATATCATGTTAACAACCTAATATAATACCATGAAATGTAAGTAGGATACTGCTATTTATATCTGATTCTCTTATTTTTTTCCTAGTGAGAAGCTGGATGGAAAAGCTAAAAGACAAGGTAAGGAAAGTCTCCTCTTCCTGTTGACTGATATGAAAGGGTAAATAAAAGATATGCAAAATAGTAGAGCTCCCACGGGTTACCGTTTAGAAATTTATGTGTATACACAAACATACATGTGCATGTAATAAGAGGCCATAACTTTGAAGAAGAGCTGGAGGGTACGTAGGAGAGTTTGGAGGAAGAAAGGGGAAAGGATAAATGTTGTAATTAAATCACAATCTTAAAAAATTATAATAACAAAGCTTCAGTTTGCTGTCCTGGGCCTCCTAGGAGTTCAGAAACTCCCTTTGGATTCCTTCATGAGAAACACAGGAGACAGACACCTTATTCTCTGGAGCCTCATTCATCTTTCCTCCTCCTCCTCCTCCTCCTCCTCCTCCTCCTCCTCCTCCTCCTCTTCCTCTTTCTCTCTCTCTCACTCCCTCCCTCCCTTCACCTCCTCTGTGTGTGTGTGTGTGTATGTGTGTGTGTCTGTGTGTCTGTGTGTCTGTGTGTCTGTGTGTCTGTGTGCATGCAGGTATGTGTGTTTATGCATGTGTGGAGGCCAGAGGCCTGAGTCAGATATCTTCCTCTGTCACTCTCTACCTTATTCTTTTGAAGAATGATCTCTCACTGAACCTACAGCTGGTGGGTTTGAGGTACACTGGCAGCCAATAAACCCCAGAAATTCTCCGAACACCACCTTGCACAGCACTGAGGTTACAGGCATGTTGAGAGACCCGACATCCAATTGCAATGTGGGTTCTGGGTTCTGAGCTGTGATCCTGTGGTTTCTCAGCAAGCATCTTCCAAACATTTGTCTTTAGGTTCATTTATTTTATATTGTGTATGAACTGAAGTTACAGGGGGTTGTGAGCCACCATGCGGGTACTGGGAATGGACCCCAGGTCCTCTGCCACAGCAGCAAGTACTATCAATCACAGAGCCTTCTCTTCAGTCCAACAGCAAACACTCTTATCCAGCCCCTTATCCTCAGGTGGTACGCCCAGCTAAATACTGTCCTTGGTCTACTCAGTACAGTTTCTTTTAGGGGATATTGGCGATGTTGTTCATTTGTGTCTGTGAAATAGGAAACTGCCCTAAGTGTGTAGCTTATTTTAACGCTCCCTCACTGGGCACTAGCAAGCCAGCCTGTCTGGATGGTCAGCTGTGGGAAAGCATTTCCCTTTCATACAGATTTGACAAAGTGATTGGCAATGCTCATTTCTTTCCAGAATCATATTTTCATTGTCTTTTGATTTTCAATCCTTTCCAAGTTTTCACATTTGGTTGTAAGTTTAACTGGAACTACTCAAAATATTGATAGAGTCTTGAATTCCTCAGGGTAGCCTATGTCAGATTCTATTAGCACATCCAGCTCAGGTTTAATTGGGAGTCCAATTGCTTGAAAATTGTTTTAATGGTCAGGCAATAAGTTGCCTTCAGTTTTCCAGCCTCAAAACATGTCTGCTTATGGTTTTTCATATATTTTATTTTATTATTTGAGCTAGCTTTCCTGTATTGGAATTACTTGCTACAACTTAATGTTAAAGCATAATCCATAAAATTGCAATTAAAATTATGCTAATACAGTAGTTTTCAGTACCCATGTGGTTTTTGAGAACAAGTTCATTTTGTTTTCATATATATTAAAAGTGATAAAGGAAACTTTCAAGCTCATGAGGTCATTGGGTGCCATTTTTGGTATTTGTTATGTATCTAGTTATGTCAAACAATATGTTCAAATGAACAGAAAGGGGTTTAAAGTATTCTGAGAAAGATATTTTCCAAAATGTCTTATATTAAAATGCATTTCTAAAATATATTATAAAATTGATTAAAATAGAGTTGAATTTTGGCATAAGGACACACTGAGATTGGACCTTGCAAGTTCTATAAGCTGCGTGTAAATGTCAACTCTTGCAAGTTACCATCTTCAGAAGCAATTTAGGAAGACTAGCTACAGTCTGATGAAAGTCACTCAAACCCTTAGAATGAAAACTAGACACATACTTAACTGAGCTCAGAAACCAAACCAGGACACCCCCTTGATCTAGTTTCGTTAAGTGTTCTAAGGTTGGGTCTCTTTTAGTTCCAGAAGCTCTAAACGAGGGTGTTTTCAAAAGTCCTGGCTAATTTCTTTTGGTTTTTTAATTTTCCAATTTTTCTGTGTTAATATTAAGGTAATCATGAGTAACAGAAAGCTCCCAGCTATCACAGCTGAAGTCAAAGGCTTATAGATAGTAGCAAAAAAACAGGGCCTAAACTGTATACTATTTGTAATCTTCATTCCCAAGGGTAACTTATGATTCTAGACTCTATGGCATGTCCAACTTAGCTATCTCCATGCTCTAGCCAGAAATAAGAAAAGGGGACTGGGCAGGGGGTGCTGAGGACAAACCACCATTAAAAAAAGAAGGCGCCCTTCCTCCTCTGCCTGGTCCTGTGGGCTGGGGCAGACACAGAGTTGGTCTACTCCTGTACTGTGGAGATACTGACTCCTGAGTCATCCTAGAGGAGCCACTGCACTCAGAGCAGCCGAGGAGCCACTGTACTGAGAGCAGCTGACACTGAGTTGATCTACTCTTGTCCTGTGGAGATACTGAATCCTGAGTCATCCTAGAGGAGCCACTGCACTCAGAGCAGCAGAGGAGCCACCACAATCAGAGCAGCAGACACCAAGATTAGAATCATAAGACTACAGAGACATCTGGACTCTGAGGAGCTCTGCAACAAGCAAGATAACTGGAAATACAGACTCCAGTCTTACACAGTGAGGGCAGGCAACACTAGAGTTAACCAGATGGCGAAAGGCAAGCACAAGAACATAAGCAACAGAAACCAAAGTTTCTTGGCATCATCAGTTCCCAGTTCTCCCAATATAGCAAGCCCTGAACACCCCATCACACCTGAAAAGCAGGATTCAGAATTAAAATCACTTCTCATGATGATGATAGAGGATTATAAGAAGGAATTAAGTAACTCCCTTAAAGAAATACAGGAGAGTACAAGTAAACAGATAGAAGCCCTTAAAGAGGAATCACAGAAATCCCTTAAGGAAATGCAAGAAAACACAAAGAAGGAATTAAACAAAAACATTCAGGATCTGAAAATGGAAATAGAAACAATAAAGAAAGCTCAAAGGGAGACAACCATGGAAATACAAAACTTAAGAAAGAGGTCAGGAGTCATAGACGCAAGCATCACCAACCGAATACAAGAGATAGAAGAGAGAATCTCAAATGCAGAAGATATGGTAGAAAATATTGAAACAGTTGTCAAAGAAAATGCAAAATGCAAAAAACTCCTAACTCAAAACATCCAGGAAATCCAGGACACAATGAGAAGACCAAACCTAAGGATAATAGGTATAGATGAGAATGAAGATTCCCAACTTAAAGGGCCAGTGAATATCTTCAACAAAATTATTGAGGAAAACTTCCCTAACCTTAAGAACAAGATGCCCATAAACATACAAGAAGCCTACAGAACACCAAATAGACTAGACCAGAAAAGAAATACCTCCCATCACATAATAATCAAAACATCAGATGCACAAAACAAAGAAAAAATACTAAAAGCAGTAAGGGAAAAAGGTCAAGTAACATACAAAGGCAGACCTATAAGAATTACACCAGACTTCTCACCAGAGACTATAAAAGCCAGAAGAGCCTGGACGGACGTCATACAGACCCTAAGAGAACACAATTGCCAGCCCAGATGACTATACCCAGCAAAACTCTCAATCACTATAGATGGTGAAACCAAGATATTCCATGACAAAACCAAATTTGCACAATATCTTCCCACAAACCCAGCACTTCAAAGGATAATTGATGGAAAATGCCAACACAAGGAGGAAAACTACAACTTAGAAAAAGCAAGGAAGTAATCTTCCAACAACCCCAAAAGAAGATAACTATACAAACATAACTTTACCTCTAATAGCAAAAATAACAGGAAGCCACAATCATTTTTCCTTAATATCTCTTAACATCAATGGTCTCAATTCCCCAATAAAAAGATGCAGACTATCAGACTGGATACACAAACAAGACCCAGAATTTTGCTGCATACAAGAAACGCACCTCAGTGACAAAGACAGACACTACCTCAGAATAAAAGGGGGGAAAACAATTTTCCAAGCCAATGGTCCCAAGAAACAAGCTGGAGTAGCCATTCTAATATCAAATAAAATCGACTTTCATCCAAAATTAATCAAAAAAGATAAAGAAGGACACTTCATACTCATCAAAGGAAAAATCTACCAAGGTGAACTCTCAATTCTGAACATCTATGCTCCAAATGCAAGGGCACCTACATACATAAAAGAAACTTTACTAAAGCTCAAAACACACATTACACCTCATACAATAATAGTGGGGGATTTCAACACCCCACTCTCAGTAATGGACAGATCATGGAAACAGAAACTAAACAGAGACACTTTGACATTAACAGAAGTTATGAACCAAATGGACTTAACACACATGTATAGAACATTTCATCCTAAAACAAAAGAATATACCTTTTTCTCAGCACCTCATGGTACCTTCTCCAAAATAGACCATATAATTGGTCACAAAGCAGGCCTCTACAGATACAAAAAGATTGAAATAATCCCTTGCATCTTATCAGATCACCACGGAATAAGACTGGTCTTTAATAATGACAAAACCAATGGAAAACCCACATGCACATGGAAACTGAACAACTCTCTACTCAATGATGACTTGGTCAAGGAAGAAATAAAGAAAGAAATTAAAAACTTTTTAGAATTCATTGAAAATGAGGACACATCATACCAAAACTTGTGGGACTCCATGAAGGCAGTGCTAAGAGGAAAACTCATAGCTCTAAGTCCCTACAAAAAGAAACTGGAAAGAGCACACACTAACAAGTTGACTGCACAACTAAAAGCTCTAGAACAAAAGGAAGCAAATACACCCAGGAGGAGTAGAAGGCAGGAAATAATCAAACTCAGGGCTGAAATCAACCAAATAGAAACAGAAAGAACA